CTCAATTGAGACATGTGTATTCTAACTATTTTTGTTTCAGAAATTTAAAGCTGAGGTCAAATTCTTTTGAGAACTCCGATGCTAATATAATATCTTATCAAAATACATCGGAGATAGGGTGCAAAACACGATTCATAGTCGAATGGGGATATTTCAAATTTGAACCATTCGTTTGCTTAACTCCAAAGCCGTTTTCACACCAAGATCGGCGAGAAAACAAGAAGTATACCTTCAATTCAAGAATTTGTGATCAAATATTTGACTTGTTGCTGAAAAATAATTACATTAGAGTTCTTGATCACCATGTGAAGCCATCAATCCAAGGACGAATGTATTGCAAGTTGCATGATTCGTCCAAGCATAATTTTGAGGATTGCAACATGTTTTGTCAAATAGTTAAATCGGCCATTGATAAAGGACGATTAAAATTTGTTGAAATACCAAGGGATGACCAGCCTATTCCGGTTGGTCCTAATGGAAAAAACTTTTTGAATCGGCTGCTTCAAGACGATTCTTTTAAAGATGAGAAGGTAAAAACTACAAGTGATGGGATCAAGATTTCAAGTAAAGAAGTTTTCCAAGAGCACAATGAAAATATTCTTGAAGGCATGAGTTCTATAGAAGATACAATGAAGATGCCAAGGACTGGGGGGCAACAAAGCAATCCAAAGATCGATGCAAGCAAAACAAAAGGAAATAAGGGCCACAATAAGCACAAGCACAAGAAATCAAAGGTCACTTTTGCACAGTTATTAGATAAATATCAAAAGAGAAGTGAAGAGAATGGTGCTTATCGACTGAATAATGCAAAAGCATCAAGATCATCCCCTAGGTGCAAATCCATGGATCGGTATTGGCAAGAAGTGAATTTCAATGCAACGTGTTCATATCCTTATTTTGGGTCGCCAATGCCAATGCCATGGATGCCTCCCTATGCTCATGTAGATCGATATTCATCATGGGACAGGTATGATACAATGGCACATTCTCCATCATATTTTAGACCATCTCACCATTATTATGCAGCTGCAAGAAGATCAACGTTCAGTGAGCTGTCATATGTTCAAGACCGTTTCATTAAGAAAGAATTGGTCCGGAGCTCAAGAAAGAAGGAAGAGGTGATCAAACAAGTATATCGAGTTAAAAAAGATGGTAGCAAGAGTGCCAATTCATATTTGATCTTAAAGGATAAAGAGCCAATTAAAGTGTTAACATTGGTTACTAAAGGCAATGAGATGAAGCAATCAATAGTCGAGAATCAAAGTGCCAAATTTGAAGAAAAGAAGTTGAAAGTGCACAACATAAAACAAGAGTTGTCATTAGTTCAAACAAAATCACAGCCGGGGCGCTCACTCGGCTTATCGTATTGGCAAGAAAAGAAATTACAAAAACTTAGTGCACAAGGGCTCGAAAAGAGAAACATGGCATGGGTTCCCAAAGGAAATAATCAAAACAAGAGTGATGTGCAAGGTTTCATTACAAGAAGTGCGACAAAGGTAAAGAAGGAAAAGAGTGAAAATTATGAACGACCAAGCCGAAGGTTTCAATGTCTTCGGTGCACACATTATCCACATTCTCCAGTTATGCCATTGATGCCGGTGACATGGAATTCATCCTCAGATATCACTGATTATCCTCCATGGACTTATTTTGATCCATGGATACAATATAACTTCTTACAACATGCAAGGGTTTTACCTCATCACCATACATTCAATTAGCTGTATTTTGTTGCTAATCAAAGTGGCTGATATATAACTATCGCCCTAAGCAAAGACATGGCCGATATATAATTATCGCCCTAAGCACATATAAATGGACGATGGAGTGTTGACATCGTCCTTAGAAGAAACTCTGGACAAATTATTTTTCGGCATCCAAGTTTTGTCGAAAAACAGGGGGGCATGTGTTGACACCAGATTTTTGCATGGTCAGGAACTTATTTAAGATGGCCTCAAATGGAGAAGTGATCTACATGAAAGAGTTTCGTATTGTTGATATGAACATCCTTGAAGTGTGGGTCATCGCCGTCCGATTTCATCTCGAAGGCCCAAACTATGCTCAAAGTACTAAGATCTTATACTCAAAGTACAGTTTGGCCAATTAAGCCCCCAAGACGACCTCAAATAGAAAAATGATCTACACGTTTTGTCTTCGTCTCGTTGAAATGATCAATTTTGATATAATAATCGTGCAAATCCGAGTTCGTATGCAAAAGTTAGAGCAATCGGAGTGCAGCCCTGTCACGAGGCGAGATGTGGCACCCCACCAGACACCTGTCTGATAGGTAGCGCGAGGGAATAGCCTGTTTTGCGCGACCGATTTGACACTCACAATGACCTTTGATCACAAAACCTTCAACATGAAAGTTGTCCATATCGTCGAAACGGTCAAGATTGCTTTTGGGCTTGTTTCCATACGAGATCGTTTACCACGACAAAAAAGTCCCGCAAGGTGCAGCCAGTTTATACCAAGCAGTTTTGGAAAGTTCGGACAAAACCAATCCGAATTTGACTAGGGTTTTGGACGTGAATCCAAGCCTTTTCCTTGCATGGGAAGTCCAGCCGCCTCTTATATATCTAAGGGGTGACAGCCGATTGAACAACACACAATCGAACAATCATCTACCACTTTTTTATCTATTATCTTTTCTCCTTAACCCTAGTTCTTCTTCTTTCTCTTTCTTCGTCTGTTCTTCTTGTTGCAGGGCGGCGAACCTTGAGGCCCTAGGGGTGATGAGGTCGACCTAGGGCAGCCCATAGCCGCCGCGCGCCCTAACGGGGTCCCTCCCGGGCGTGTGGGGTTTCGGGTCCTCAAAAGCACCCGCCGGATTGTCTTGCGTACCCCGCTTCCGGCGGGTCTCCTTCGATGTGAGCTGCGGTGCATCACCCCCGGCGTCGAGGGTACACGGTGACATGTTCTTGTGCGAACAACTACATACATGACTATTAGATGATCAAGCGAGTAGAGCCTTGTGCCTGGTATATATATAGTCCATTATGAAGTGTCTTCGATCCTTCCTCCAGTAACACTCTGTAATAGCAAGTTAGCTGGCTATAGATGGATGCATGTTTCCCATGACTAGTAGCTATTACTTCCAGTAATTAGCTGGGTAATAATCAAAGGGAAACTATCAATCCTTCCTAGATCAGTTATTATTAGACACATGTGCAGTTTTTCTATGTGATGTTGGAGTGAAACAAGTAAGCTGAGTGTTCATGCGCTGCTTATGCATGCTTTTGAGAAGCAGGGGGCGTCCTGCAATCGAACGCCCGGGTTACTCAAGACTCCAGCTGGGTTCGGGCTTAGAATGATTCTTTTTCTTCTTCTCGTCTGTGAGTCCACTGTCCACCCCTCATTCTTGTGCTTTTAAACTTCAGAGGGACTGAAGCCAAAAACAAAGTGTAAACTGCAATTGTATACTCCCTTCGGTCCACATCACTTATCGTTGATTTAATAGAATGTTTTACTAAATCAGCGACAACAAATGTGGAGGGATTAGTGAGTTCAAAAATCATAGTCCTAGATGTACATATTATCATCAGCATGGCTTGCCGCACACAGGTCGTTCAACATCCATATGTTTTTTTGACTGCTTGGCCCCCGTGTCATCCTCCCACGCCACCCGAGAGTGGTTTTTTATAGCTCAGGCTACATGGCACCTTCTATCTATACCGTTCATTGGCCTCCTGTTCCTTGAGATTTTCAAGTCAGACAAGACCAGATGCAAAAGATGCAGTTGATTACAGACATGTTTGAACTTTTGTTATGACCTTGTAAGAGAGAGAGTGAAAAGAAGGAGAGGGAACGGTCTCTTGCGAATAAAAAAAGATAGAGCAATCTCCCTGCATTGCATGCAGCATACAAGAGCAGGTCACATGGGTGAACAGTAACTTGCTAATAAGAAAGAGGTGTGAACAGTGTGTCAGCTGAATGCAACACTTTCTCTCTCTGCAATTGCATGTTCTCTCTCTTAAGCTTTGCATCGAGATTGAAAACAACTCGCCATGCAACACACAACTCTCTCTCCCCACCTTTGCATGCAACACACAGCCTCTCTTCACATATGCGTCGTACACACACAGCCTCTGGCACGTAGTGCAGTGGACTGAGTCAAGACTGTGTGCTGGTAAGAAAAGAAATGCAACGGTGGGATTCCTGACAATGTTGTCTGCTAATTGTCTGACTGCCTCTAACCATTGCACATATCCCAAGGTGAACCGATGGTGGTGATAGTAGGTACCGTGTAGCTGGGGCTAGGAAAGAACTTTGCGGAAGATGATTCGTCTATATCTCAGCAGGGCTCTACCTCATCCTCAACCTCTCGCCGCAGCCGGTTGGAGCAGCCGAGTAAAGCCCTGTGCGGCGTACGGCGGCGGCAGGGCAAAACACAGACATTTACGTGTCATGGCAATAGAGTCTTTAGTTGGTCTCAATAAAGCTATTATTTCGGATCAGCAACAGAATGTCATGCCTGAAGTCCCTACTGATGGGCATGTTGTGTGTGTTATGAAGAAACTTGACAACCACCTTATACACACTTTAGCCCCAAACATTAATGCTATGGAGGAACAACAACAAATTTATCTAGGTAAAATTACTTTGAAAGCGCTGCATGCACAATATTTTAATTGTCCGATCATAGTACAATACATAATCTAGCGCCCCATGGAGTCGTGCTGTTAATTGATCCATCATTTTTGTCCTAGTCAAGTTTAACCTCTACATGTCCAACCTGATTAGTGATAATTGGCATTTGCTTCGCGGCGAAGCTCGTCAATTTTTATTCTCCCGTTGCAACGCATGGGCATGTATGTTTGCTAGTAGTAGGTAAAAAAAAAGATAAAGACAGATTAGGTAGAGATTAAACTCGGTTTATTCTTAAGAAATTCTCAGGCAAAAAGAAAAAAACACACACAAGGAAACCATCTTGGATGGGCTGTTTTATCCGAGGATGCATCATTTATCCATGTCCTGCATGCGTCCCTGGCTCGCTCTCGCTACTCTTTGTCATGGTGATCGATGGAGTAGAGACACTGCTTGAAGGCCTCGAGGTTGTCCTGGAAGACAGGCACGAAGGCGTCGATGCTGCCGTCCCCGATGTAGGACGGCGCAAGGAAGATAAGCCCTTCCGCCGGGATGTAGGACGGCATGACGTACGTTGGGGTGCCCGTGCCGAAGTCCATGTCGTAGAACTGAAAGGTGAGCCAGCTGTGCACCTCCAAGTCTGGGCACAGCACGTCCCTCATGTTGATCTCGGAGCTCGGCGCAAGTCCTTCTTGCTCGACAACGCCGGAGGTGGCAAAGTCCACAAACGACCGGAAGTAGGCCGGGTCCGCCACCCTAGCCACCTCGTCGTGGATGAGCTGCGCGGCGTGACTCAGCGGTTGTCCCAGCAGGTCGGACACCCTGGCGCGCGGGAACGCCCAGAGGACTAGGTTGCCGGCATACTCCGCCGGCATGCCGAGGCGGCTGCGGCCGTCCACCGAGATACGCACCGTGGAGATGTCGTCGTGTGAGAGTCCCCGCGCCCGTGTCATGGCGCGCCACAGCTGGGCGAGAATAGTTTCGAATCGGGTAAACGGGCGGTCCCGCCCTTGTGAGGTGGTGTCGCGAAGGCCGGCGATCCAGTCCTTGCTAAAGTGCGCCTTGTGTACAACGATCACCTTCTTGTCGGCGGCGGTCGCTGTGGGCACCGGCGCCGGCGGTGGTGGAAGGTAGTACTCGCGATTGCGGTGGTCGAACTCCAACTCCAACTCGTTGATGCAGTGAGAGGTCAGGCGGGGCTGGAATAGGTCGAGGTGGTTGTACTTGTACATGGGCGGGAGGCCCATAGTGAGACCCCTGGTGGCACGTCCCCACGCGACGAGGAAGTTGCTGGTGGCGCGCCCGTCGGCGACGGCGTGGTTGCGGGCGAACCCCACCGCGAGGGAGCCGCACCTGAACCGCGTGAGCTGCACCACCACCACCTCCTTGATAGCTTCCTCCTCGAGGTCCGGAAGCAGCTGCAGCAGCTCCGGCTTGGGATTGGGCTGGGCCACATCCACATCCACCATGTCGGCGTCCACGCACGCCTCCACCACACGGGCACCCCGGTCATTGAGCAGCACCACCGGCCCCTCGCTGCGGTTGCGGACCAGCTGCCCCTGCCAAGGTGCGGTACTCCGAAAGGGCAGCAGCTAGGCCCTTCTCTAGAGCGGCCGCGGTGGGCGCCGGCGCCGGCGCCGCAAAGGCAAAGATCATGGCCATATGCATTTGGTACGTCACCTTGTCAAAGACAGAGAGAGGGATGTACTCGGGGGCGCCGGCGGCCAGCTTGGTGGACGCGGGCTTGACGAGCTTGGAGCTCAGGACGTGGACCTCCATTGCCGGCGGGGACCCTCTGCGTAGCCAAGTACGTACGTGAAGCTCAACTTTGTGCTTTATTGGCTTTTCTGTTTTGTTTCTGTCAGCGGATGTGTGCTTGCTCAGGGCTGCGCCGTATTTATTTATATAGGGCAGGTGTATGGTCGGTGGGCCTCTGGACCGTCGGCACCCATGCCGACAATGCCATGTTACCTACTATTAATACCAAACAATCTGACCCAAATTAACTAGACCAGTAACACCTGCCATGTGCAAAAACACAATATCATGGAAATCCCTATTTGACACATTTTACGTCAAACTGTCAGGGCGATGCACACCCTTCGCCCGTCTTTGGGCCGGCATTTTTTCCTGTTTTCTGTTTCGACCGACTCCATTGGCGCACACCTGTTTCCTCGTTACCCTTTCTTCCTGCGGCTGCTTTACTTTGATTCCTTCTCTCCTTGCTCCTCTCGATTCTTCCCCGTGGTCTTCATTCCTTCCTCCTTCGTGCGTCTTGTTCGCTAGGTGCTCTAGATTTTCATCTTCTCTCCCCTTCCTGCAAGTCTCTCGGATGGAATTAGGGTTAGCTGATTTTGTTCTTCGTTGTTGGTAGATGGTGTTTTGACAACCAAAATCCGAGGAATAACACTTCAATTTTGTGATAACTGGTCGAGGTTCGTCAGATCCGGTGTTCCCCGTTTGTTTTTTATTACAATTTACTAAGTTCCTCAACTGCATTCGTCTCTCTTTTTCTGTTTGTATTTGCAGGTTCGTCTGAGATCTAACAGATCATGGTTGTTCTAGAGGGTTGTAGGTAAATCATTACAGCAAGTACTAGTCAACTATTTTCTGTTCTGGTGCTTGACAGTTTTGTTCATAACCCTTTTGTGTGGATATGTTTTAAGATGTTTTGGATACGCCTATAGAAGTGAACAAGCATCTCCCTTCAATTGTGTAGTTGCTCTGAATTTTCCATGTATATACTTATGCAGTGGCCACTGGCGGAGCGCTCCGGTGGGCGAGGTATGGCGCCTGCCATACCTTGATTATTGGCAAAAAAAATTATACGTATGTATCTATCACTCGGCCGCTCTCTGTCTCCGCTCGCAGGAGCCAGGCAGCCAGCGGTGGCCTCGAGCCCTCGAACGCAGCCGGCTCCAGCGCCCTCTGCCCATGACCCCACGTCCCCTCTGGTCCCACCCACCTAAAAAAAAGAAAACCAACGACCCAGCCGCGACCACGCAGTCCACGCTCCGTCCCTGCCCGAGACCCAAACCTAGCTAGCGCGGCGGGCCGGCGGCGCCGGCTTACCTGGCGCGAGGACCAAGCGGGCGCGGGCGGCGGAACCGCGGAAGGCTGGGGGCGGCGGCTCCAGTGGCGCAGCAAGCGACGGCAGCAGCAAGCGGCGGCTCTGGCGGCGGCTTCAGCAGCAGCTCCGGCGGCGACTCCAGCGGCGCGGCGGCTTCAACGGCGGCTCCAGCAGGTAATCCCCATGTCCACTCCTCTGCGGCTCTGCCCATGACCGAACTCTGAAGTCTGAACTTTGAATCTTTGATGGCAGTGGCTTTTTTGTTTTGTCAAAGTGTCAATTGTTTAGATTGCTAGAAGATGGTAATTGTTTAGACCTAATAAGATGCCCAACCGGCTCATTTTTGTCTAGATTGCTAGAAGATGGAAGGAAAGGGAAAGGGACTAGTAAATCCAAAGAAAAGAGGAAGAGGTAATATCTCATTTTTCTGAAATTTTGTAGCAATTTTGAACAGCAGCTTGAAGCCTTAAATTCAACCATGTTTTAGTGATATATTAATCTTCTCATTGCAGATTTGAAACGTCCTTGGTCAGACCTGGAGATACAAGATGGGGCTCTCATTACACAACCTTATCTCACATTGAATCAATGTGGGATGCAGTCATAGAAGTTTTGGGCATTGTTGAGGATGATGTGCGTGTTCCATGTAGAGCAGGAGGTTTGGTTCATCAAATGGAGACTTTTAGCTTTGTGTTCATCCTGAAGATGATGCTAAAGATCCTTCGTATGACAAATGATTTGTCTCTTCTATTGCAAAAGAAGGATCAAAATGTTGTTCAGGTATGTGATCGATCATGTTATATGTATCTACTCTGCTTGATATATTTTGTTCATGAAAACATACATGCATCTAAAATTGTAATTATCTCATTTCAGGCAATGTCATTGGTTACGGATGTGAGAACACGTTTGATCAATTGGAGAAATGATGGTTGGGAGCCACTCTTGGAAGATGTCAAAGCCTTTTGCATCAAAAACGACATTCCAATACCAAATATGGATGACATGTTTACAAAGTGGGGAAAATCAAGAAAAGGTGGACGAAACAATGTCACAGCTGATCATTTTTTTCGTGTGGACACCTTCTATGCTACCATAGACTCCATCACCACAGAGTTTGATCATCGTTTCAATGAGGTATCTTCAGAGCTGCTCCAGAACTTCTCTTGTCTTGACCCAAGAAACTCCTTTTCTAGGTTCAATGTGAATAAGCTTGCTAGACTTACAGAGATTTATTGTGAGGATTTCTCAGATTATGAACGTGAACATATAGTTGATAACCTCGAGCTATTCATTATCCATATGAGAAGAATTGAAGAATTTAGAGCTTGTCATGATATTGCAAGCCTAGCTAAAAAGATGGTTGAACTTGAAAGGCATGTCATGCTTCCTGCTGTTTATCGCCTCATTGGGTTGGCATTGCTACTACCGGTAGCGACGGCAATAGTTGAAAGAGCCTTCTCATCAATGAAAATCATCAAGACTGAGTTGCGCAGCAAGATGTCTGATGGCTGGCTTAATGACTTGATGGTGTGTTACATTGAGCGAGCGATCTTCAAAAGTATTGATCTTGATAAAATTAAGGAAGATTTTCAGAAGGAAGGTAGGGCACTGCCATTGCCTGGGTCTTCTACACGCCATTAAAAGCTTCATTATCGGTATGTTTTAGGTTGTTTTCCTATTGAGACATGTCTACATTTCCATTGTATTTGGTTATTCGTTCGTAGTGTGTATTGTTAGTCAGTGTTGTTACTTGTTAGTGTGTATTGACTCTTTGATTCGTATAAAAAATAAATCTTAGTGAGACTTCGCCACACCTTAAATTTTTTTCGTGGTCCGCCTCTAGCAGTGGCGATGGTTCTGGTGATACTGATGTAGTTCTCTTCTAGGTTACAACCAGAACTTGTACTAGACCTGTTATAGGATTGAAGTTGTGTGGAATTGTTCTACTATTTAGCTCCATTGTTCTACAGCTTAGTCTTGGTGCTCACTAGATTTCTTTTATAATATGCTAATGTTAGCAATGCTCTTGACCCCCACTCTTTGCCGAAGACGGCCACTCTATATATATCGCCGGCGACCAACACCACTCAAGAGTCTTGTTTCTCTGTTATGCATGAGCTAGATGCTACTGTAAACAAATCCGTTGAATCTCGCTTGGTTTTTCCGGTAAATGCTCGTAGATACAGGAGGTGTCTTCTCTTGAAAATGTTGAGTAACCTAGTATTCATTTCAACATTATTTTGTTTCCATGCAAATCATATAATTTTCTAGTTCACAAATAGTCATTACCCCTTTTAATGTGGTTATCTTCACAATGCATTCTACTCTGCTTTTGAATGTTCAATTAATTAATTTGAAGCACCTCCTAGTTTGTTTGGCAGCTTAATTAGCGTCTACCTCTCTAATCTGCAAGTTTTGTGATGTCAATTTAACTACGTGTGCACACTGTTTAGCTAACAGTAACTACTTGCTTCCCTGGAAAAACACTAGCTAGTTGCTTGCTGATCTGATTTTCCTGCACTATTTCTGTACCTAATTCTTCATAGACCTTGTTACATTTTTTGATACAAACTAATCTGCGCTTACTCCAGTGTTTTTCTGTTCAACGATTTTTGGAAATCACTCCTCAATCTCGGCAGATTGTTTTCAGAAAGGACAGGAGTAGTTACAAGTAGATGATTACGTTGATTTGTACTTCCATTTCTGTCCCATCAATGTATACGTCAGAAAGCATTCAGCTGTCTAGTTCATATAACAGAATTTGTACCCTGTATGCATGTGTTCTAAAGATTGCATTTTTCTTTTGCATGTTGTTTTCCTATGTATCTCCCACCACAATATTGCATCAGAAATAGAGAAGTTATTATGAACCATATATTAAGGAAATTCCTGTTTTGTTTGTTGTCTTGGTACTATGTTCGAATCACAATGTATTTGAGCACGGATAGATTGTTAATTCAGCTTCTAATAATAATTTCGTCCAAAAATGATTTAAGCATGAATATAACATTTTTTCAATCCAGTTTTTTTAATTTTTTCGAACAAAATATGAATCCTAAAACCTTTTTTGTATGTCTCAAATAATTTTTAAATTTCAAGAACATTTTTTAAATGTCTTGAACAGTTTCTCAAATCTTAGAACATAATTTCAGCTCCAAGAACATTTTTTTTAATATGAAGAACAATTTTTCAAATCCAAGAATAATTTTCTCAATCCTAGAACATTTTTTAAATCATAGGTCATTTCAATCAAAGAATATTTTTTTCAAACTTATAACATAATTTCGATTCTAACAACATTTTTTAATTCCAAGAACATTTTTAAACATCTTGAACATTTATCGATTGATAGAACATAATTTTGATTCCCAGAATATCTTTTTCAAACCAAGCACATCTTTTGAATTCCAAGAATGTTTTGTAAACCTTAGAACATATGTTAAATTCCAACATCATTTTTGAACCTTAGAACATTTATTTTAATATTAAAAAAATGAATCCTAGAAAAAGTTTCGAATCTTAGAACAAAAGTTGGATCCTAGAACCTGTTTTGAATGCATTGAATAATTTTTGAATTCCAAAAACATTTTTAATGACTTGACCATTTATCGTATCTTTTTTTAGGTGAACATCTATCGGATCTTAGAACATAATTTCAGTTCCAAGAACAATTTTTTAATACCAAGAAGATTTTTTGAATTCCAAGAACATTTTTTGAACTCTAGGATATTTTTGTCCCACAAAAACACACCTATCCGGGGCCATCGAGTTCACCAGGACACTGCCACTGCCAAACCATAACAAATCGAATCCACCGATATGGATCTTGGTCCCACCGAGATGGCCTTGCAAACTCTCTGTAATCGTCTGCAATTATTTCGGTCTCACTGAGTGTTCAATCGGTCCCACTGAGGTGGTTTGCCAACTTTCTTAGCAATGAAATACCACAACCTACCTGATATGATATATGATAATTATAATTCTCTATGATATGCCTTCCCTATAAAGGACCCGAAATACCTTGCTTACGTATCATTGGAAAGTGCATTAACATAAATACGGTACTCCCTCCTTTCCGGTTTATAGGGATTATCTCAAAAATTTAGTTTTTTCATTTTATAAGGCTCAATTTGGTTGTTTCACATCACATGTTCAGATTTCAAGGTGCATTAAATCATTGCATGCAAGTATTGAGAGAAAATTGACCAATGCATGTAATTTATGCATGCATGCATTGCAATTAATGCATTGATAAACATGATTTTTTGAGAAAAACAAGAGCATTAATTAGGTGCTTTTGCAAACTACAAAAAATATTCCGTCACTCACCATCTACCTTGATTGGTGAGATTTTTGAATTGAGCCTTATAAACTGGAAAGGAGGGAGTAGTAAGCAGAGGCAGTACAAAGTATGTAAACTATAAAAACGAGTCAAAGTGGATTGGCCCACACTAGCACTTCCGCGTAATAACTCCACTAAAGGCGATCTTATTACCGGAATGGCGTCAGGTACACCTGTCACAATTTTGACTGCACAATAGCCAATTTGATCCCAAGGCAAAGAATAACCAGTTACACCAAATGATGCAGTCAAAACAGCCAAAACCACACCTATGACCCAAGTTAATTCACGGGTTTTTTTAAATCCCCCTGTGAGATACACACAAAATACATGCAGGATCATCATTAAAACCATCATAGTGCCCTATTGGTTCACTTCGGTCCTACCGAGTTGATGCAATCGGTGCCACCGAAATAAGGTTTGCCCTTGCCATTGCACATCGGTCCTTCCGGGTTGTCCCCAGTCGATCCCACCGTGATCTCTGACGTTCATATCTTTTGTACAGCTCGATGCCACCGATATTTCTGATCGATGCCACCTAGTTGTGCGAAAAGTGTGTAACGGTTGAATTTTTTAGTGGAGGCTGTATATACCCCACCAACCCCTCTTCCTTAGTGGAGAGAGCCATCAGATTGTGCCTAGACTTCAACTACCCATTTTCTAATAGAGAACCACCTAATCATGTGTTGAGATCATGAGTTTCCACTCCTACCATTTAAACCTTGATTTCTAGCCTTCCCCAAGTTACTTTCCACTCAAATCCTTCTCCCACCATAGCCAAGTCTGTGAGAGAGAGTTGAGCGCTGGGGAGACTAACATTTGAAGCACTAGAGCAAGGAGTTCGCCGGCGTCGAGGCCATGACGGAGCTGGGGAGGGCGGGTATGGATCGTGCGCTTGACGACGAGCACGCTTGTACCATACCTTACATACATAGGAGCTCCCTATATCTGACGCAAGCGCCAAATAATGCTTTCCCGCCACGCAAACCCCCACTAGCAAAGTTTTTGTAGCTAGACGGTCATGTCGGCAAGGGCGTATTTTCAATTTTAGGACCTTTCAACCATTTTGTAATGGTTCTATAAAGTTCTGCACCGGATTTCTTAGAATTATTTTGCATTTTTTTTCTTGAGTTTTTTTTTCTTTTTCTACTTTTTGGTTCATCTTTATTTTTCCTTTTTTTGTTTTCCTTTTTTTCTTTTGTATAGTTCATGAATATTTTAAAATTCCTGAACAGTATTCTAAAACTAATGAAGCATATATTAATCCAATATATATATAATTAATAAAAATAAAATCATGAACACTTTTGTAAATCAATATCTTTTATTGCATATTTTGAACATATATTCCAATTCGTGACTATTTTTTATCGAATTCAAGATAATTGTCTTAGATTCAGGGGTATTGCAAACTTCATGAAATTTTTTGTTCAAATTATATAAAATTTGTGAACACTTTTACATATTCATATTTTTGCTCAAATTAATGAACCTTCTTTGTATTAATGAACATTTTTTTAGAATTTATGTTTTTTTTTAAATTGAGAAGCATTTTTGAAATCTGCTACTTCCTCAAATCCATATTAACTGACAATCCCTTAGTACAATTTTACTAAAATTATACTAAAGAAGTGTCAGTAAATATTGATCGGAGGGAGTAACATTTTTAAATATCCTTGAATATTTTTACATTTTTATTTTCTTTCAAAATGTTAAATTATACATGCATTTTTTGATTAAATGAAAGCCACTAGGAACAACGGAGCGGGAAAACTGGTTGAAATTATTGGCTGACCCCACAAAAAAAATCTTTGCGAGCGGGAACAAGAATCTTAAGAATGGGCCAGCCCACCTGCACACGATGAGCGTTATAGCGCCAATTCCCCACAAGAGGCAGGGAATAGGAGCTCCTGAAGAAAATACTGCAATAGCAGAAAAGCTTGAAGCAATAACACAACCAACCATGGTGCCAATTTTGTCAGCAGTTATTACCTTAATTACTCAACTCGTTCACAATGGAAATCCAGTAATTAAAGGATGCGATTATGAGCGCAAATCCCTTTCTCTCACATTGGATGCATTCGTCGCCCATGCATTCAGATGGAGGGAGTAACTAATTCTAAGTCGACTAGGAATTAGCAAAACTATTTTTCTTTTTTATTTTGAGGATTTTGTTAGAGCTTGTAGTCACGGTTAGCGCATAATACAATGCACATTAGTTTTTTTCGCAAAAGTCAAACTTCACAAACATTGATCAGGTTTATAAAGAAAGTTATTTTTATATTTACAGTAAGAAATATATACCACATTAAACTGTATTCAAGATGCATCTAATCGTATTGTTTTGATATTCTTGATGTTAATGAAATTTTTGTTAACTCGGTCAAAGTTTGCAAATTTTAACGTTAATAAAAATTAATATGCACTACTAAATTTCAGGATGGAGGGAGTACAAAGACTCGGGTCTTCTCAGTCTCAGAACAGGGGCTGGCCTAGCTGCTGTTGCAGCAGCAATAGAATGCGCCCTCGGGCGTTTATTCTTGCTTAGTCCAAAATAAATCTATTGTTATCCTGCCATGTCCCTCTGCAAGACCAGGAAGTTGAGATGGAAACTAGGAATATATTGTTACGAATACACTGATCTTACATTCATTTCATTCATGCGTGACTGAGAATCATAGTGAAATGGAAACCTGATTTGTACTATGTGTCTAGAGGTGCGGGTGCAACAAAACATGTGAGGCTGAAGAAGGAAGTCAATCCATTGCAACGCTCGCCAGGAGGCTAAAGACCTTTCAATTAGGCTACCATGGAGAGAGAACGACATTGAGAAGGGGCAACACAACCATGTGCAGTTGAGAAGATAGGAATTTTAGGCAGGATACATGGTTGGTATCCATTCGTTCATGGGCCACTTTTTAGAACAATGCATGCCGGGGTTCAATCAGATTGGTCCCAACATCCCACCCACTAAATGATTGGCCAGGTGAGTGAGCTGTCCAAGCCTTCGTAAATCACATCGTAAGAAACAAAGACGTACCAGCTACTGTAGGTACGAATCAAATAGACAACAAGGACAAACACCAGCATCAGGAAAGGACCGATGAACGCCCATAGGGGTCAATTCCACCACACGAGAGTGATACTAACAACTTAATTGTCTTTAATAGTGCTTTGCATCCTTGCATTTAATGCATCTGTTATGGCACATGCCTTATGCGGTCGATGGTTCTGCAATTAGGGGATGCACATAGTCTAAAACTATATCAGGGTATGTCTATGGACGCAAAATTTTTGGACATGGTGGCACGCGAGGATGTTATCCTGATCGATGATTGCTGCTAGACGATTCGTACTTAATATATTGATTGATTGGATACTGCGGCAATACACGTGGATAAGTGAGTGAATACACAACGTTAATAAAGTAGACATGGGCCAGCTATAACTGAATTTAATGCAGAAAGACTTGTGTGTTTATGATCAGGGTGCAAGGTGGCAGGCTACCCATCAGTGCATTTAACATTCGTGACCTGGGCTGTAGTAAATGAGGCCTGTTCCTAGTTAAAACTACTCACCCAGCCTGCGGTAAGTAGTGCAGTTAGTTCTTCTTCTTTTTATTACGCTAGTAGATTGTTCAGTGCACCCATAGTACTATGGATTAGTGGAGTATTAATGTCACTCATCAAAAGAAGCCTAGCTGCAACACTACTGTGGTTAAACATACATTTATCAACTAATACTGTACTACTAGTACATAGATCATTGGCCGAGCACACGAACTTAGCTGCAACCATGATAAACTTGCTCATATATATTTTGGTAATTAAATACAGCTTGTAGATATTTTCATATTGTTAAGTTCAGTTAGAAATTCGTGAGTGAATTTTGATGTCCCTAATTTGTTCACAAATGTGTATTGTAATTTTTGTTTAACATCCAAAGTATGATTGTAAAGCTGAGATCAAAACCAAAGTCATATTGGTGATGTCTCAGTATTCTCTATTAAGACGTGTAAAAATATATCTTGACTGTCCTATTAAATTTCGCCTGATGTTTTGTTAATTGATGTACTTTCTTTATTAAGGTTGCATTTTAAAATACAAATTGTATTTTTCATAATTCAAGTTAACTATGACGAATGAACCAACTGATTTTTTTGGGTAAGAAAGTGATACATCTAAGGATTTTGTTGTGCGTCATAGTTCAATATAGCTTAGTGCAGGTAGCCCTCACGCGGCATGGAGCTGCGTCCCCTACCTGAACGCCATGGTATTTGGCTTATCGAAGGGATCAGCGTGGTGGATAGAAAAGGGAAGAAAATGTAGGCCGTCATTAGTGCAGGTTAGCATTGGCACGCTTCTCCACATAAATGAAGAGTAACTCTCCTATTTAAAATTGTGGGTCCAATGTAGTTATTGATGTTTGGCATACGTAAGTTAATACTATCATTATGAAATGCTGAAGCAATTTATACATGATTATTTGTATGTATACTGAACGCATCTTGAAGGAATGCGTGGTTAAGATTATAGCCTCGCGTGGAACTATGTCCACTCGTGATTTATCGCATGTCTATTTATTATCTACCACTAGAAGGGTGGCTGTTTGTTTTCTCATCTTTTATTTTACTAAGATTTTCAGAATGTCCAAAATTTTCTTAAAGAAAACATTGGTCCCGCTCCAGTTAATTTAAAAGGGAACTTTACTTTCAAGGTTTGGTTGCTTGTTAAGTACGAAGTTTATGCTCCTGCTTTCTGTCACTAGAACTGTTAGAATTGTGTCGAATGTAGTGTACAAGATAGGTTAGAATTGGACTGGGGGTTGTATTATGTTTATATAGTATATGGAGTTGTTTACTAATTGGACACTTGTATCCAAGGCCTCTTATATAATGATGGGGTAGACACACGATGTAACATATGCAACATAATAGCACATGCACGTGGGGTAGCCGACAACATGTGTTGGCGCCCGTGCGGCCGGACTGCGGTATTGTAGCGCAGTCATGGGGAGGAGCGCCCGTAGTCAGGCACCGGGGATGTAGTCGTATCCGTGAACCATGTTAACAAAATCTCGGTGTCGTGCTTATGTGATTTCTTGATCCTCTATAGATTGACTGCGAGCCACGCACTAATTCTAAAAAGTGGCATCAAAGAAGAAGAAGCCGGTGATTTTGGCAACGACGACTTAGGAGCATGATGTTGATGGTGGCCTACAATAGTTACCATCGTTTAAGGTCACATGGTGACCCTTACCCTTGAATATCTAGTGAAACCAACTAATCTCATGATCACCCCGTGATTACCTCAAGATCATCAACGTCTTTCTACCAAATTCTTACCTCGTCAGTCATT